AATGGTTAGTTAAAGTGTATTTTTCATCGATCGTGTAATCGGACAAAACGCATGCAGGTTAACTATACTTAGGTTAACTGATAATTTAGAAAACAATAGTTATTTAGAACCAAAAATAACATTGCAAACTATCATACAAAATTTATCAGATGGAATAACTCGATTCCTATCCAGCAATGTGCACGAATAAGTTTTTTAACCAATGCCCATGGACCTACCGACACAGTGTTGCCGTAAGTACCGAAAAACTAATGATATATATATATGTAGTTCCTAAAATAAACAAATTCTGTTAATACAGAGGCCTTGACTTACCTAAATGGTGCCTTTGGTCATCGAGACGCGTCATTTTCATTGTGGTAAACATATAAAGTCGTCTACTTAGTAGGATTTACTAGCGTTCTAAATGCTTACGTCAATGCTTTAAAATTTATTTTTGTAGCTTATAGAGACGTTAATGATGTAGACATTAGATGAATAAGGGTTGCTATACCATTAATTGATGTGTTTATACGTATGTATGAAGTGGGACATTTCTGAAATCATCATTAAATGTCAGTTCAAACCAAACATAAATCCAGTAAGGAGGCATATATCAAATCACTCATAGTCCTAAGTTATCAGAGTCACTTTTGATTTCTCCACTAGAAGAATACCGATACAGCGATAGCAAGATTTACATTAACGACCCAACTAATCCAAAAGCCAATAAAAAGAGATAGATGGGAGGTAAAGCTCAGGATATTATGCGAGTCACGAAAGATGAAACCTCAAAGCACACAGTACATATCTCAATTCAGTTGAAGTGCTCGCATTTGATCACATTACATTTCTAAGATTTTTGGAGATGTCTACTAAACTAATAGTATGTTTTATCTTTCTAAAGTTTCTTTATTTCAATCAATCACATTGTTCAAATATTCACATTTGTGGAAATGTTGTGTTTTTCAATATTACGAAGTAGAGGTGTATCTGTAGGTTTTGTATTTTTCACCAGAGTGCCTTCTTGAATAAGTTTCTTCGTTTGCTGTTTCAAGCCAGCTGTATTTGTGCTCAAATTATGCTTCCACCAGTCAGATCGATCTGTAAGTCAATTAAGATGTTCAATATAAGGAATAGGACTGCCTACGGATGGAATGACAATGTTTAAGTCTAGTATAAGCACGTTTCAGTGTCCGCTGTGTGAACAGTAACTAAAGGTTAAGTTTGTTTAAAAAATTAAATGTAAGAAAAAATATTATTTATTTGGTGGATATACAATGAGTACCTGATTAAGCATGATTATTGTCGTTATCATCAATGGTATGGCTATGTAGAACATATCCTCACAATCACATAATGGCCCACTGTCAATACTGTTATATTATTAAACTATTCCTACTGGCGGTCTATCAGAGTGACACTTTTGTCATATTGTCAAACATACCCTGCCACCATGTTGTCAAACTGTTATCCTTATCGGGTATCTTTAAACTGTCATCATTATTGTTTTGTAAAACTGTGACTTTAATATATTTTCAAACTGTTATTGACATTTAGAATATAATGCTATCATTATTATCATCATATCCTCAATCTGCCACTGTAGTGTCACTCACTCGAATGTAACCGTTACCGTTAGCCTTTTGCTGTAACGAATGTAACCGTTAAATAATGGTAACGGTTACATTCATTCCAACAAAACAAAAGGATAATGGTAACGGTTACATTCATTCTTGCAAAAGGTTAACGCATTTTTGTGGTACAAATGTAACTGTTACCGTTATCCTTTTGCTGGAACGAATGTAACCGTTACTGCTATATTTTTGCCGGACTGTCATTATTAAATTATTCTTGAAATGTATCAGGAGATTAACCTATTGTCAACATACGGATATTTTATCATTGCACTGGAATAGCAAAAGTGTCACCTTGGTCGGTTTTAACGATTACAATATTTGTAAACTACTTCCAACATTATTAAGTTACTAACAAAACTATGTCATAAAACTGCAGTCACTACTGTTATACTATTTTATTTCGCAAAGCTATCACCTAGTTTCATTCACTGTTAAAATTATATCAAACTCTAATAATTCTATTAAACTGTGTGTCTAATATAACCAGCTGTATCTTTATCAACCTATTAAATGGTAGTTGTTGTCATTCCATTAAACTGTGTGTCTAATATAACCAGCTGTATCTTTATCAACCTATTAAACGGTAGTTGTTGTCATTCCATTAAACTGTGTGTCTAATATAACCAGCTGTATCTTTATCAACCTATTAAACGGTAGTTGTTGTCATTCCATTAAACCGTGTATTTAAAATGTCTAAACAGTGTAATTTTTTGTTTTCCAATTTGAAACTCGCGACATTCGGTTAAGCTGGTCTCTACTGCAGAACAGATTTTTGCGGAAATATTGTGAAACATTAAACTTGACTCTGCCTTCTAATTCTGTCACTGTTATCTTCGTAGATTATCACTTTTAAGGCACACTGGAATATTTCTTCTTATATTTCTTTTTAAAATGGACTTTTTTTTTAATAATACATAAAATTAGGTGTTAAATTGTCTTTCATCATGAAGGTTTACTATATATTTACATTTGAATTTTGATAGACCTGGCTCGTCAGAAAACACCCAGTCAGAAACATTATAGTTTTTGGATGTGTATATATAGTCTGAGCTCTCAGAGATATATTAGAAACAAACATTAACATCTTCTTGTGTATTCATTACATCCACTATCGAATGTGGATGGAGGTTATGTTTTCACCCCCTGTGTTTGTATCTGTCAGCAAGTTTTCTCAATTGTTTGTGTGTTTGAATTTCGCGCAAAGCTACACGAGGGCT